CTGGCTAATTTTTTGTCGTTGTAATTTTAGTAGAGATGAGGTTTTGCCATGTTGGCCAGGCTGGTCTCAAACTCCTGACTTCAAGTGATTCTCCTGCCTCAGCCTCCCAAAGTACTGGGATTACAGGGATGAGCCACCATGCCCAGCATAAGAAGCCTCTTATACCACGGTCTCTTCCCCTGTGATTGGGGGAATCCATGCCTCTAGCTGGGATGATGATGTCCAGACCTGGGAGGAGCCCAGGGCTACCCACCTCTAAAAGTCAGAGGGTAGGAGGCAACAAACAGACACAGGGCTGCCCTGGAGCATGCTAAGGTCACTTGCCCCGCAGTTGGAGCTGCCTTTGGCCTGGCACCTCCCCTCCCCAGAGGCTGGTACCTGTCTCCCAGCCCTTCTTGGATGAGGCAGAGGTTACCATCTCCTTCACCTTGCTCAGCTTCTCCTGCAGCTCGTTTACTTGCTACTCCAACTGCAGTGTGCTCTTGTTCTCATGTTCTGTACAGAAAGAAGCAATCAGTGGTCATCCACTGCAGCTGGAGATCCCAGAACTTGGTGTCTCCCTCCCACATCACTCGGAAGGGTGGAGGCAGGTTAGAAAAATCATCCCCTCCCCCACAGCCATCAGAGCAGGGCCTGATGAGCTCTGGTTCACAGGTGCCTTTAGCAGTACCATGTCATGTAAGGGCTACACTGCCCCATTTTACAGGTGGGGAAACAAAGACCTGGAGGGCTAGGGATGAGGGCAGGCTCCCCAGGTGGGGCAACCTACCAGCTCCTTGAAGCCACACTGTGGCTTGGCCAGCTGCTTGTCGAGCTTGTGGTTCTGGGAGAGTGTGCGTCTCTCCTCCTGCTTTCATAGCCTCTCCTCCTTCTCCCACAGTCTCTCCTCCTGCTTTTGCAGCCTCTCCTGCTGCTCCCGAAGCCTCTCCTTTTGCTCCTTGCTCAGGAGACTCAAGGCCTGGTTGTTTTCCACCTGGGATTGGAGTTTTCCCACCAAACTCTCCACCTCCTTCCGCAAGTGTTTGGCCTCATCTTGTAGCTGCTCCACCTCAGACGGCCCTGCTGGGGGTGCTGGAGATGGGGGCTCAGCTGAGAAAGGAAGCAGACAATAAGGGCCTCTGGATTCCCCAACCCCCGCCTCTCAAAAAAACCAACCCTACTCTTGACGCACAGCTCCTCTCAGGCTTCCCAAACTTGGCCTCACTGCTAATGATTCCTCACACCCAATGGAAGCCAATTTCCCAGCCATGTCAGATACAGAGCACTGTGGGTGGCTGACAACGGGCACTCCTCCCTCTTTGCTGATGGGGACCCTGAGGCTCATGGAGATGACAAGACTTGCTGACTCCTGGCACAGACCTCTTTTCCACTGCCTCAAATCCCTTCCATCCACCCACCTGCCTGGGGCATTCTAAGCCACCCCACAGCCCTGTGATGCCAGTCCTGCTCCCAGGTCGCACCAGCCCCATCTTACCCATCTGGTGTTTGATTTCGGACAAGCTCCTCTCCAGCTCCTGTATCCGATGTATGTCACGCTTCTTCTCCTCCTTCAATGTGTGAGCCTGCCCAAAGCACAGGGGGCAAGGGTCCTGGAGAGGGGGGCTGGTGGCTGGACAGGCTACCATCTCCCTCTCTGCCCCCACCTCCACAAAGCCCAGACCCATGACCACCTCTAGCTATACTCTTCCCATTTTACAGATGCCCAGAAAGATCCAGTGACCCATCTAAGGTGGGGGCTGAAGGCTCAGGTCTCACCTCCACCGACATTTTCCGCATCCTCTCCTGCCACCGGGCCCTCTCTCCTTTTATATGTTGAGCATATTCCTCTCTCTCCAGCTGGACTTGTTTCAATGACTCTGTCATCTGCAAGAATGGGCACAGAAGTGAGGAAGGGCTGTCACTGGTCCTCACCTGCTCCTGGCCACCTGGGGTCATCTTCCTTCCACATCCCTCCCTCTGCAAAGCCTCACTTGTGTCACGTGTGCGTTCAGCAGCGCCCGCTCCTTTCTGGTCTGCTGTAACTGCCGCTGGAGGACTGCTTCACTGCGGCTCGAGGACTGGATGGTGAAGAGTGAGAAGTTTTGATGTGGGCAGTCCAGGCAGTGCCCCTTAAAAGGGCTAGGGCTAGGCTCAATGTACAACTTGATCAGTAAAGATCAAGGCATTTCCAAGCCTATGGCCTGGTTTTTAAAAGAACTCAGTAAACTTGGAAGGGACAGGGAAAGAGATTGAATTATAGCTGGCTAACGGAGGCCCAGAGAGATCAGATAATATTGCTAGTGTTATTACTACCACTGTTTGAACCTTTCTGGAGTGCTTCACCAGGTACCATGCTAACAATCCTATTTAATCCTCACAAGCACCATATGAGACAGTTACTAGGATTACCTCTATTGTGTACATGAAAAACATGCAGTATTTGAGGTTAAGTGCTTGTCTAAGATCACTGAGACAGAGCTGGGATTTGAACATCCAGGT